TTTTTTTTAATAAAAAATGTGATCAGAGGTAGGTAGTTTTTTTTATGGATATCAACACAACGAAAAATTTAAAGTTGCATAATAAATCTCTATTACAAGAATTAATCAAAGATTGGTTTAGTAAAATTATTTACTTGTAATATTTTTTTATTCACCGTGAAAGCTAATACAATATAGAAAGCACTGAAACTCTATAATCATTTTCACTCTTTTTTTTTCAAAATATGTACTGAAATTTGAAATTTTTTCAACAAACATTTTAAAAAGTTACAGTATCAAAATTATTTCTTATTTTAAGTAGAAAGACTATTAGAGCATTTAAATGTGTCTTTAATGCTTGAGTGATTTTAATGCTTTTTATCAAATGTACTTATTTTCTCATGGTGACAAAAAAAATTATCTACGTGAAAATTATTTTACAAAATCAATTTCTGAGTGATCTGTGTAGGGTGAGATTTGTTATGTAATTTTAAATTTAGCGGCGGCAGAATACCTAAAACAAATATTGAGTAGGTAGGTATATAGTTGTAGAGCGTACAACTAGATGGCGCTTGCATCTTTTACTGGCTACAGGTAATTTAACTCACTGTATTACCGATAATTCCTAGAAAAGAAAAGCAATAGAAGTTGGAGAAAGTGTCAACAGTTAGCGCTGTTAATGACCACGAAATCTGTTCAAGTTTCCTATCTATAGTATCATTTATCTAGGTATTAAGCGCTCATAAATTGATCACTTACTCTATTATATGTTTTGTGCACTTACTGATCGGTACCCTCGAAAATAGGGGGTAGGAAAATTTTTGTAACGATTCGGGCATTTTATGCTGTTGTAAATAATTCTCAAATCCGATTGGTTTAGGAACGCGTTCGCATGAAATATCTGAATGTGAACGTTTGCTAGTATTTTACGATGTCTACTAATTAAGATTTATTTGTTTTGAGGAGTATGTTACTCCATAAGAGTAAGTAAATATTTATTTACTCTTATGTGTTACTCCAGGGCGAAAAGTTATTAGTTGCTGACGTTGAGTGAGGATAATATTTCTCACTCAACGGTGAAACACATTCTTCGTGTCAAAACGATTATCGACTCACTGATTACTAGTGATGGGAGATTTCGAGTGAAAAATCGAGTAGTACTCGATTATTGAGATCACTCGAGATATCTCGAGATGTTTACTCCCACCACTCGAGTGATTATTAGCCTACGGTTGCACCCCAAAATGTTAGTGCATACTGTAAATAGTCACTGATTGCGTAACCTTTTTTTTTAGAATAAAACGAAAAAGTGGTTAGGTTTTGAAGTGCGTGAGCTTTTTTTTTTTAGCTACGCTTATAAGTAATATATGACTAATACAAACATATTTGTGCGCCGCTGGGATGAAAACGACCAATATCTCGTATCTCGAGTGATCACTCGATTATTAGAAGTACTCGATTACCGATAACTCGATTATCAAAATTGGTCGATTATGCCCATCACTACTGATTACGGATTACGGCCCTAGATTCGGTTAAGATTATTAAGGACTATTCAGAACCAATAGATAACATACGCAGGTGATAGCTGATGAACCGGTTCACTTCGTTGAAGTGAAATCTGGTTCGCGGACGGCACAGCTCTAGTTTAAATCTCTGAATTGCTAATAGTTATTGGTAAAAGTTTTTACTTTTTATTAGAAGTCTGTGTGTTAAACTAACCTTTATTAAAATTTAAGGTTAGACCTTAGACAACAAAAAAGGAAAATAAAAAACATTTTAGTTCCACAGCCCTAAAAATAAATGTGTATGTGATTTTTAAGTTAACTTAACTGTTAAGATACAATATGAGTGATTATGAAAAGGTATGGAATTTTATAAAAAGAGTTTTTCCTGTATTAGATGAATCTTTTACATTTTGTCAAGTTGAGGATAATACTTTTTTAAAAAATGAATTTGATGAAAGCGTGGAATTTTGTCAAAATATGAATTTAGCTAAAACTATACAAGATTTACTTATAAGTAAAATAGAACAGAGATTGAGAGATGAGGTAGTTCCTGAATTTTGGTCTTATTTTAAAAAGTCTGAAAATGATAATAAAGGCTTCAAACAATTTTACAATGCAGTCAAATCACTTTATGACTGTTTTAAGCAGCTGGATCACATTATAACCAAATTAGAAATATTTAGACAAGCTACGAAATTGTGTGACTTAATTTATAATGAAAACAGTACCCACAATGCTCTAAAATTAATTTTAAAGGCCACTTTGCTGTCTCAATTAAATTTAGAATACCAGGTAGTGGTTATGAATTTTTATGAAACTGCTCTTAAAATGGAAGATACAGAGGAAGATGACGGTCAATGCATCATTTGTTTACAAGAAAGCCGTCACTGTAACTGTTTGCACTTATTTCAAGAAACAAATAGGTTGGTTACACTTACTATTATTTAATACTGTCCACAAAAGAAAATAGCAAGTAATATTTTCATTCTAGGAAACTTGGAGATATGACTTTACTCGAGCCACTCGTTGGGCAGACATTAACTAATTTAATTTATACCTATATTCACGGACATATTCAAAAGATTTGTAAGGATTGCTTTGATTCTTCTTTTATATCGGTTCTTGAAAAGGTAATATAAACACTTGGAGAAATGTAGTTCTATATTATAGTATTTTTTAGTGGTTGCAAACCGTGGTAATAAACTGGTTAAGAAAAATATATTGTTATGATACATCTGGTTCTAATAAGTTTGCAGTTGATATGTTTGACAAAAAATTGGTAAATTACTTATACAACAGTTATACAAAAATACGAATTGATCAGTTATTTAATATTATTATAGGTATGTATTTTTTTTTCAATAATTTTTATCGGAAAAAGAATGTAATATATTCAATATATTATATATATATATATATTTTTATAAATATAACATAAAATGAATTTTAAACTTTGGATCCTATTGTGCTAATAATCAATGAATTGGTCATCTAAATTTTAACCATAATAATTTAAATACCTATGCACTAGCTTTCAATGGTTTGATTTCAGAATATCCAGAATCTTTACCAGCTTTAGAAGATCTACGATTATGCCTTCCAAGGACTGATCTAAAACCGTTACTTACCAAAAAGCTTCAAAAAGCTATGGAGACGCGACTGTTGCATCCTGGAGTAAGCACTCCTGATATTTTAACTGCATATGTTGCTGCAATAAGGTCCTTGCGTATTCTCGATCCAACAGGATTATTGCTAGAAACAGTAACACAGCCCGTTCATCAGTATCTCAGAAGTAGAGAAGATACTGTCAGGTACTTTAAAAAATTTGTCGCATAATTCAGTTTATATTAGTAATTACCTCTATTTTAGATGCGTAGTTAGCAGCTTAACAGAGGAAGGTCCAAACGATTTAGCTGAAGAATTGGTGAGAGGTGAAGCAGTGCAAGTGGATGAAAATACTCCCGTTGATGAAGATAGTGAAAATTGGGAGACGTGGGTACCTGACCCGGTTGATACCGCTCCAAGTAAGACAGATTTTATGAAAACAAAAGCTTTCGTAATTAAATTACAAATTTAGGTAAATCATCAACTTTTCGCAGAACATCGGACATAATATCGATGTTGGTAAATGTGTACGGAAGTAAAGAGTTGTTTGTGAATGAATATAGAACACTTCTCGCCGATAGATTGTTAACCCAGTATTCTTGTGACACAGAAAAGGAAATACGATATCTAGAGTTGCTCAAACTGAGATTTGGGGATTCTCAGTTGCATTACTGCGAGGTAAATGTATTTGTTTAAAGGTTCAGATTTGGTAATGAGCATAACATGAATACTTTTCTATCGTAGGTTATGCTGAAAGACATAGCAGACTCGAAACGTATCAACCAACATATTAAGCAGGATCCCGAATATTCTGAAAGTGATGTACCAATATCAGCCATGATAGTTTCGGCTCAGTTTTGGCCCCCATTCAAAGAAGAGAAATTGGAACTGCATAATCGACTTGTAACGCAAATGGAGGGGTATACGAGTGCATTCGAAACTCTTAAAGGAAGCAGAACTTTATGCTGGAAGAACCACTTAGGAGTTGTTGATTTGGAAGTAGAATTAGCGGACAGAACACTGAACTTGTCGGTGTCTCCAGTGCAAGCTACTATAATGATGTATTTTCAAGATAAAAGTAAGCATAGCCTTTGTATTCTTTTTGTATAGCATTTATGATGAGATTTCCAGCCTGCTACGTTCAATAAAAAGTATTAGTTTGTAAAATTTTGGAGCCACTAACTCCCGTTTTTTGTTTTATCGGCACTATTATAGCTTAGGTACGATTTTTGTGAGGCGCTCGGTAACTGCATTAGACAATTTTTATTAATTTCTGATGGCTCGTGAAAATAGAAATGGTCATATTTTTTTAAAGAGACCCTTCTTAGATGACTTGTGCACAGCTTCATTGTTTTTGTTCAGTTGGTTGTGCGGGGACGCACCATCCTCTCGTTGCCGTACATGCTACGACACGTTTCCATGACTGTTTTACGGGCTTTAAAACAGAACTTGTTTGCTGTACGCTGTTCAATATGCGTTTCCATGATAACTATCAAAAATTCGTTTCACGCAAAACGTTATAACTTCGTGAGAGATACTCTTATACTGATGAAATCTACGTAGTTCCGTTGATCGCACATAGATAGTGCCACAGACATCGATAAAATAAAATCAGTCTTAAAACTTAACAACTGGATTGTGTACATCTGAAAGACTTGGTAATTTGAAAGCAATGCGACAGCTGCCATAAATTATGTATAGGGGTACGCCATTTGATAAAAAAACACTTTGTATTTTCAGGTACTTGGGAATTGGAGGAATTGAGTAAAATAATGCAGTGTCCCCCGACGATATTGAGGAGAAAAATAGGTTTTTGGCAATCTCACGGCATTATAGCGGAGATGAAACCTGATGTTTTTTGCATACAGGAGGATGTGGACAACAAGGACAACAATATTCAAGAAGACATATTTGTCGAGGATTACGAGTCAGAGTCTGCCATGGCAAGCGCTCAGGATCAACGAGAAGAAGAGTTACAGGTATGTCGAAATAATTAGGTATTAATCTCCATATGTTTAACGTTGTTGAAATTTCCTTTTAGACGTTTTGGTCATATATTGTTGGTATGTTGATGAATTTAGATACTTTACCTTTAGACAGGATACACCAAATGTTAAAAATGTTCGCTTTTCAAGGACCTACTATAGAATGCAATCTACAGGAACTTAAAGTTTTTCTAGATCGAAAAGTAAGGGAACATCAGTTAATTTATTCAAATGGTTATTACAAGTTACCAAAGTAGCCCAGGTTCCGTCCAATATTTACTTTGAAATTAATAAAAATGTTGTTTTGATGAATGAATTTTAGTATCGTAACCCTACCAGTATCCCACTTTAAAAAAAAATACAGCATTCCGACAGGTTTTGTGAATGTTTTCAGCTTGTTCTCTCGTGCAGTTCTTGGGGTGTGGGAAGAGAAGGAATTTTGATCGTAAAATGCAACATATTTTTACAGTTCTTTTAAAATAAATTTGAGTTATGGGCAAACTAAAACCTTTAGCGGCTAAAAGTCGAACATATACCATATTAGGTTAAAAATGCAAATTCTCGAGACGTATTGGCACTTTGCTCATATTATTTTTATTTATTCCTTCGAGGACAACAATCGTAACATAAAATAAAAATGTTATTGGAAAATGAATTCTAGTGATTGAATTATTTGTCAAAATTTGTCGTCCTAAGAACGTTACATAATAATTTCCGTTTTAGCAATTTGTGAAGCTTGTATCGAAAAATTTTATGTGTAGCATGTAAACAAAATTCTTTTGCAAGGTTGGCCTGAATATTCCGGACTCAGTTATTGCCTCGTCTTTAAACATCTAGATTCGTATGTTAAAGTATTATTTTGCATACTTAAATAGCTATTTTCTGTCTCTTTTGGTATTCTCTCCACGAGAAAGTAAATTAATAGAATTACTAATGGGCTTGCATATTGGAGAGAGTTGATATATGAGTAATGTTTTAGGAGGGAAATGTTGATATATCTCATATATTTGTTATGTGATCGTCGGTTTTGTAATTACATAGCTACATCTTGGTAGGATTGAAAAGATAATAAAAAAACATTGATTCAATTGTCCCTTTAAACATTGTACTATTTCTAATTTTATATGAAATCTGAAATCAGTATGACTGGTTAGACTTAAATCTTGGGTAAATAGAAGAGTACTACTTTAATTAAAGCTACACTATGTAAAATGTATTGTCCGACTATTCCTCGAGCAAAAAGATTGAGATAATCTTTTTTTCGAAAAATCGTAACTCGAAAAATTTTTAATATTTTTTAATTTGAAAAAAGGCACTTTTTGCTTGCCGAGGGCTACATTTACAGCAAGTAACAAGTTTCAAAACCTTAATTCGCAAGAAATACAGCAAAAACAAAAAAGTCGACATTTGATGGTGTTTTCGATATATCTCGAAAAGTAATACAGCAATCGATATATTTAAAAATACGAATCGATAGGTTTTTTAATAGCTACAACTTTCTTATTTAACTTTTTTCGATTGGAATTCAATTTTTTTTTTATTAGCCAAAAACCGTCTTTTTGACTTTTATGAATTTTTTAGATTAACTTTGCCGTTTATGCGCCACAGGAAAACATTATCTTAGAATAGAGAATAAAGCTATATGTATTATGTATATATAACGCATCAATTTTATATATTTTATAATGTTCGTTGAATTTATGTATTTTTTTTAGTTATTTATATTTTTTCTTATGTTTTTCTTGTTTTATTAAAAATATTTCTAAAAAAACGTCTCCCATCTTCTCTCTCATCTTGCCCTCCCCTAGCCCATTGGCTGGCGACGCCCTTGTCCAAAAGTTAAACATGAATTTAAATTAATTACATTAAAAAACATTTAAAATAATCGAGAATAATGAAAAAATTGTACACATTTTTTATCCCATGTATTTCAAAAATTTGGTCAGAGAATTTCGTCAGTTGAAAATTGAAACACTCACTATAATGAATAAAATTAAAATCATAAATAAACATTTATTTTAAATGTGCTCAATATATAAAAAACGAACCTAAAGCTATACAATTTAATAAATAATTACATAGTTATTTTAAGAGTGCTCTATAGCAAGTAGGCAACCAGCAATACATTTTTATATATTTTATTACACAGTTTGTCTAATATGAATTAATGCACAAATAACAGACTTTCCTCCATTCTAACGCAGATTTTCTATAAAAGGGATTTGAAACTCAAATTACTTTTTGTTGTAAAGAAATTTGTAATTTGCCGCTTCTGAACAAGCTGCATCGTAAATTACAAATTTCTTTACACTGAAAAGTAATCTGAGTTTCAGACCAAGTCCATTTTATAGAAAATATGCGTTAAAATGGGGGAAAGTCTGTTATTTGTGCATTAATTCAAATTTAGACAAACTGTGTAATAAAATCTATAAAAATGTATTGCTGGTTGCCTATCTACTGTAGAGTCCTTTTAAGCTAAGCTTTTATCTCGAGAAGTAAGAGCAGACCAGTCCAAATTTAAAATAATTTGAAGTTTGGAACCAAACTGGTTTCTTGGAACCCATTAGTATACTTGTTAAAAGGTAACTTTGTTCATCATCACCTTAGGCTTTCATAATAGTGGCCAATAGGAAAATAATAAATACTTAACTTATCAGAGACTGCAGAACCTAATCTTATGAGCTTAAATGCTTAAATATTTATAATTGTGGTCTAGGATTTAGTTTGTCCCCGGAAGGTCATCCGCCCTCTACCTCTTACAGGTCTTTGAGTACTTTTCATTTCTTCGTTCTGGTGCTTACTGGCCTTTGTAGTAACCTCTTCAATAGAATCTTGTGGAATAGAGTCATCGGGCACCGATATAAGTGTGTTAATATTGGTGTCCGAAGGAGTAAGCTCTGTTACTTCGTAACTTGATCGGTGGTTCTTCAACTTATTGTAATTGTCTTTAAACTCGGGAAACTGTACATTGGGCTGTTCAATCGTACCGATTAACGGGGATTGATTAGATTCGATAGTTTTTTTACTAAGATCAAAGTTAGAAAAAGCATCTGGATACCCAATCAGTTGTGGAAAAACTGAGGACGATTCGAACTGAAGTGGGTAAGACGTTGTGAAATCTATTGGAGGTGGTTTTAAAGAGGTGAGATGGGTTTTCCTGCCATCCCTCTTTTTTTTGTGTCTTTCCTTGTACGCCTCGAGAGAACTGAGAAGTATTTGTTCCGAGCTTAGAGGAGTCCACTCGTTTTGAAAAATGAATTTGGGTTCTTTGTAACGTTTTTGTCGTGTTTCTTGATGATCCTGGTTTACACTATATAATGGAGAACTGTACGACTTCTTTGAGTCGGTGTGGTAGGTTTTATGGCCCTGGAAGACAAATTTTAAATTAACAGTTGTTAATAATACAGGCTGCACTTTCTCCCAGTTGGTTAGAAAGTGGTACAAATATAAACAGTGTCCAATGGAGTAAATTTATTGGTAACTTCTTCCACAACTAGTTTATATTTTTGACTAAATTTAAATGATGTAGAAAGACGCCTAAATCGTCTAGGTTTACTTCCTTTTTTTATGACTTACAAGCGAGTATGAGCTCTGCAATTATTTTAAATCCGTTTAATATTTACCTTCTGCTTTTGGAAAACTTCCTCGAAACTATTCTCCCTGCTGTAACTGGCATCTTCAGAACTGTCTCTTTCGCGGCTGTCGTGGTGCTTCTTAGGCCTTTTGTAATCATGACCGTGGCTTCTCCCGGAATGGTGACGACCCCGTTTGTGGTCATGCCCGTGCGTGTTACTGTGACCCTTCTTGTGACTTCTGGGTATCCTCTGTTTGATTACGATGCGGTGGACGTCTCTCTTGTGGTGTTCGCATAAAACCGCGCACACGACCCATAACAACAGCAGCGTTTTTATTATGAATATATTCGGCGCGCACATGGTTCTCAGCTCAGAGCGGTGCACTTCTGTTGGAAAACAAGAGGAAACTTTTTATATGTATAATAGGGGACACGCGAGAACAGGGGGTGAACAGAGACGGGCCCGACTTTGCGTCAATCGATTGAGACTATTAAATCTATATTGAGTAAATATTTTATTTAGAACAGCTCACTATTGTCTACTTGTGTTTGGATAATTATAGTATCAAATTGCAAAAAAAAGTAAATCAAGTATATTAAGTCTCAGTGCAAGTCGCATATATTTTTTTAAATGAATAAGTAAACCTTATATAGTCATATAGAGGAAGTATTAAAGATGCCCGACAGCATAAATATAGTAAGTAACAAGGGTCTAAAGTCTAGAGACAGACACGGAAATTGTAGGCCGAACGATGCTCTCGGTCGCACGGAATGACGTAACAACGCGTTCTTGATCACGTAAATTTGTAAGGAATTAAATTTTCATGCGAGTTGCTTATTACCGTTCTTGCATAGAGGATCTAAAATACGATCCAATATTATAGAACATCTAAATGATTGTGTATTTCTATCTTGAAAATCGAATACTTCTGTTTAACTTGAAAACTGAGTGTTTCAGTAAAAAGTTGTATCTTCTATTGTGAATACATAAACAAATAAATTAAGTCCTGTACTGGCAAAGAAGATTTACTACAGATTCGCTCTATTTCTCTGTCACTTAGCAATTATAAGCACTTATATTCAAATCAAGTCGTCGCGTGACATAGTAAAAGCGCAATTATTAATTTGTCGGTACTGGATGGTATCTAGAAATCGAGATTGTTTTAAAACGTATATGATACAGCGCGGGTAATAATTTTTAAAACGATTTTCACTGCAAGCACCGCAATTATTGCTTTAATTGAGTTGCAGTTAATTATTTTCAAGTTTAATGATTTGAAATACGATGAAGTTAACGCATTTTGCGCCATTTGTGCGGTAAAGTGTTGCCAACGAAAAAAAGAAAATAGTTGAAAGTTCAGGGTTATTAAAAATAGAGCACTACACAAAAATATAATTTTTTGCGCTTTTTAAAATTGTTTATTAACGATTTTTTGCATACAATTTTTCTTTTAATTTTTTTAAATAAGCCATTGCGATGGGAAATTCAATTCGTTACAAAATTTTTCCTATGAACTATACCGAAATTTTGCATTGTTTTCGTGCTATATTTAAAAAATTGCAAAGGTGCATTTTCAATTTCATCCCTCTAATTTAATAGCACCCCTCGGTTTTTCCATTTTTAATGACCCTTAGTCAACAAGTCGTGATGAAAATCCTTGAACGTCTTATTTCCTTCCTTTTTTGCAAAAATGAGAATTAAAACGTATAAGGGTAAATGCGACGAAAATCGAAAAATTGGCTAAGTTTGAGCGGAAATATATCAGTCAATTTTCATCCAAAAAACTTTACAACCTCTTATTTTTAAGGAAATTTTATCTACTTTTTTTCCTATGAAGCAATGCCTATACCTATCTTTACTCAAAAAAAACTAGTCAAAAAAGTGAAAAAAAATAAAAAATCAAATTTTTTGCTTTTTTCAAATTGTTTATTAACGATTTTTTGCATAAAATTTTAAATGAGTCATTTCGATGGGAAATTCAATTCTCTAAATAATATTTCCTATGAATTATAGTGAAATTTTGCTTCGTTTTCGAGCTACAATTAAAAAACTGAAAGGAGTGCATTTTCACCCCTATCTCCAATTTCCACCCTCTAATTTAATAGCACTCTGCGTTTTTTTCATTTAAGATTACTCTTTGAAGGATTCATGCAATAAAATTGCTTCAACGTCATAGTTCCTTTTTTTTAACCCTGTTTTTTGGATATAATCAATAGCCTGATATGTTTGGTTTCCTTATTGATTAGAGGTTTCATTGATTTTTTCATACTTCATATTCAAAATTTATCATTACGGTGGGAGGTAGAAAGGGAGAAAATAAAACCATAAACGTCATAACACTAGAAACAAAACTCTATTAACTATATATAAAAAATATTTACAATATATTAGTTTTAGTATTAATAAATAAGATAACAGATACTGGTCAGATACGTCACATGCCATTATTATAAATACATCTGCCTATTTTAGCCTCTTGACAAATTATTGTATTGTGTGTAAAAAGAACGTTAAGCATAACGGATTTGCGATTGATAGATTTATTACCATGAGCGGATCAATTGATAACGATAAAAAAATTTTCATTTTTCCTGTTGATTAGTTGAACAAACAGAAAAGCGGTATTTTTTTTTAATTTCAAACATCCTGTTTATTTGTGTATTTTGCAACCATGCAAAAAAGGTTTTAAGATATCATATTTTTAAGATAGGCATTAAAAAAGAAATTGGTTTGTTTGTCATGGTCTACAAAACAGAGCGAGTGTTGTTCTTTATTTTAGGCAAAAATTTGATTGTTAAGGATTACGTACTCTATACTTTTGTCTTGAAATGTTATGGAGATATGTGATAGGCTGCAAATGTATTGATTTTTGGGCATATTTCGATAATTTTTAAGATCGTAGATTGTTCGTATCGTTTGCTATGAGCCCATTGTTGACAAGGCATTATTTTAGCTCTCGTGGGGAGGTTTGACGTTTCATTCAATCCGATTGAGTGACTGTTTCTATAAAACGTAGTTGCTCCTCGGCCGCAAAACGGACTTCGGCTTCAAGGGACTTCCCGGCGGCGAATAGTCCGGATCTGGGATATAGGGCGAGTTCGAGTGAGGAATATTAGGCGGAGGCACGTTCCTTGGGGGAGTCCTCCGCCCGTTTTGCTTCCCTATCTTGGCCACCTTCGGGCTGACTATGTTGGGGTTGTCCGAAACCGGCCTTAGGTTTTCCATCTGCTGGGCATAGGGATTGTGACCGTTGCTCAGAGGGTTCTGGTTCATGCCCTCTGGTTCAGTAGTGACGAAGGAATCGCTCCTGGGGAAGGCTGTCCTGTCGTTGTCGTCGGCGAAGCCTCCGTTGGAGTACCCGTTGCCTATGTCCGTTTGCTCGTATAGGTTGTTACCCCATGGAGGTCGTCTGGAATAGATTGTTTGATATTTTCAGTATAGTTTGTGTAAAAGGGCGTATGAGGTATTTTAATTTTTTTTTCAAAAATGTTCGATCGTCGCATTAATATCAAATTTGTTGTTGAATTGGGCAAAAGTGCTAATGAAACTTTAGATATTCTAAGCGTAGCATATGATGAGGCTGTTAAGGAGAAGTCTGCAGTGTTTGAATGACATAAAGAAGGACGGGAAGACGTGAAAGACGATGGAAGAGCTGGGCATCCGAAAGTAGTTATCGAAATTGTGAAAATGTTAAAAAGGTACAACAGCTGTAAGTGAGATCTGATAGACGGTTGAGCACAAGGGTTATGGCAGAAGGGCTAAATTTAATCAAGGAAACATTAAGAAAGATCTTGGCCTAAGATTTAGAAATGATAACAATACTGCAAATATGGTTCTCGCCTCAATATATGTAGACAAAGACAATTTTAAGCTTCTACCTGCGACAAATAAGGCCAATGTTAATTTTAATCAGTATTATCTGAAAGGTTTATTAAATTTAAACGCAATTTCCTTGGGTTTTAATGTGACCTGCATATATTTAGAATGCATTATGTTCCAACAAAGCGGACGGATTTGGAATATCAGGAAACTTATACATTTTCAAATAAACGCCGCAACACGTAAATTTTGACTTGGTTTTCCACAATAACTGTTTTTTATTTTCTGGATAGAAATTTTAATATGAAAAAGGCGATACATATAATGCAAAAGTAGTTCAATTCACCAACAACTTTTTTTTGTAGAACATTTGCATGTTCGAAAAATTTCTGTAAGTGTCCTTATAGCAGCGTTTTGAAAAAATTACTGTTAATTTATTTTTTCCCTTATATATATTTTTATACAAAAAAACCTTTATGATAACTTCAGTGTATTATAACTTACCCGGTAGAATAGCCATCGATCATAGGTAAAAGTGAAGGTGTTTTCTGTAACAACAATTGTTTGTATCAATAATTTAAATTATGGGTATAAATTAACTACATATAGGCATATGCGTTTCTTGAAAAATATTTTGATGAAGGCCCGGTAAAAATAGAGTACAACACAATATCTCATTAGTAATAGGATTTTCTACTTACATTCTTTGATAAGTTAACGGCGAATTTTATCAAAATAATGGCAAGTACGACGTTGATTACCCACAATACATATCCTCTTGCTGCCAAAGTCACTAGAATTATATAAGAAGTGTTGAGAAGTTGTTTATATACCTAAAACGTTTAAACAAATTAGTATTATCATTAAACAAATTTATTTAATACAATTACAAATGTATTCGGACATTGATGAAGGCCGTGAAGAAAAACTACTAAAATTATTTTTTTCGTAGGTAGGTACTAAGTTTCCTAAATTAGGTAAATAATTAAAAATACTTGCCTCGTCTTGACTTATATCTTGGAATACGCTAGCATCCGTTACAATGAGTTTTGAGAGGGATTTCTAACAATAAGAGAAGCAATCATTAGTAATTAATTAAAAAGTAATACATCTTCAACAGAAGATGGTTCTTGTTTAGCTGGCCAGTCTGGGATTGCAAAGTTTATTGTAATAAAACAAGAAATAGATAGCTCAAATCCATATTATGATAAATAAAGAGAGTTGTACACTTCTACAGTACACAGTTTCCTGATGATTACGATTTCCTGCGGTGAAATCTTGGACTGGCCAGCAAGGTAGAATACTTACAGTCAACATTAACTCAGCTTGAACTCCTGGATCTTGGGTAGTCTGAAATAAAAGTTGTATGGATGATGATAAAAAATTAAAAATTTCATTGGTATAGTCTTTCCGATCTCAATTGAAGACCAGGAAGAGTAAGGCAGTATGTACCAGGTTCGGTCGCTACGCAGCCACTTGGCATTGAAATATTTGAAAACAAAAATTTAAAAATATCGATGGCATGACGAGAGACGTAATTCGGCGGACAATTTATAATTTATATAAAGAAAATTGAGAACATAAATAATTAAAATATGTATGTTTTTGGCCAAATGTATGTTTTTGGCCATATAGAAATTTTCTACACATTAGGTATATACAAATTATTATAATTTTTCCCTTTAGCAGAAAACTTTTTTAGGGACGCCTATGAAACTCATTAAATTTTATTATTGCTAGGCGTTTTTATGCATGTTCAACTGACTTCGGAAAGACTATACAGCAGTGGACAATAAAAAGTTCACATATGGTCCTTTATAAAACAGAACTTTATTATTCACATCGTTTAGACCCCTTTAAATGCTTTTTTGTTCATGACTATTTAATTTATTTCTCTGTCGAATAGCGAACCAAATTGTTTGCATTGTTAAAGATGATTGTCGCCAATTCTATTCCATTAATACAGCGTGAATGTATATAAGTATATTAGTTACTGTTATTTAATGATTTAAATACTCTGTGTCTCATTTTTCTTTTGTACTTACTATTGTCGTGTCTAATGGGGATGCAGATGAGGATGGTAAAGTTGTTTCCTGAAAAATAAATAAAGTATTTTAATTGTCATCGTTAAAATGGAAATTATTTCAGAAATAGCCCGCATGATATTCAGATCTTACACCGCTAACGATGAGCTTATATAAGTTTCGTACTCCACTGGACTTTTTTGGATTGAAATTTGTGTCAAAGTAAGATCTCGATAAACCCTTAAATGGTAAATTAAAAGGTTGATTTTTATTTTAGAACAGCTGTTATCAATGTTAACAAATGATTTTTTTCAAATTGAGGTTAAATCGTATGTAAAATTTGATGGTGTTGATAGAAACTTCTTATTCAGGAACAAAAAAATTGTGCAAAGTCGTAACATCATATTAGTTACTGAAATTCTGTTAATACTGTTTTGTTCAACAAAGAAAGTACGGAATTTATGTGTAAACCAGGGAACGAATAGAGAAAAATAGGGTAAAGCCTCCGAACACTTTCGGATAGACCCGAAAATTTGGAATTAAGCTTATTTTACCATGTAGATGAAAAGTTATATATGCTTCATATGTGCTTCTAATTTTTAGGGAATGAAAACCACCCCTTTTTCTAAAAAACTGAATAAATATAAAAATAGGTTTTATATAGACCAAAATCATATATGTAATATACAGGGTGTCTCATAATTAGCTGCCAAGCCTGAACAGGCCGATTCTATGATCAAAATTAAGTAAAAAAGTTCATATGAACATGGGTCCGGAAATGCTTCCTAAGGGCACAGGGACCCATTGAAGAGGGAGGAATGGAAATCATTTTTCTGCAATATCTCTCAATCGCGTTGTGATAAATGAATGAAATTTGGTATACACAGCTAAATTTTGATGAGCAATTTGATAGACTAATCCATTTATTTCCACAAGGTCCATTGGGGTGGGTACGGGGGGCCCTTGGTACTTTGCGTGTGTAACTTTTTCATCTTTGACTTTTTAACAAATTGCACAGCAAATTCCGTTTTCCCGAACTGTTTTACGTTAAAAAGGTACTCTTGTTTCAAATCGTTATCTTTAACGGTTTCTGAGAAAATCGCTCTTGAATTAATCCCACTTTGGTCAATTTCATAGTAATTTAAACAAAAAAATTTTTTTGTTTAAATTTAATCTAATTTTAATAAAAAAATAATAAAAAATTAAATCAAATAAAAATTAATCCTTTAAATGGAAAAGAGAGGAAAGGAAAATTATTATTATTATTATTTTTTGTTTAAATTACTATGAAATTGACCAAAGTGGGATTAATTCAAGAGCGATTGCTAAAAGTACTGTAAAATTGAATATTTTGTAACGCGTTATTTCTGAGATTTTTGAGGTTAAAAGGTTTGAAAAACATGACCTTACCCCCAACTGTAAACTTCTAGCAGCGACGGACGTCTCTGTTAATTTTTACCCTACACAAATAAAAAAAATCAAAATATTCTGTGAAAAAAATCTAAACTTTTGTACTTTTGAATTTTCGTATCTTTTTTACTTTTAAATTTATTTTCAAAAATATGTAATTTTTTTTCAATCAAAACGTAATATTTTCAAAAATCTGCATTCTAAACCGCTTAAACTTATATAATATATTGTTAGCACATAAATAAATGTAAATTGTAGAAGGATTACCTTTAATTTTAAATCTCGTGAAAAATTAAACAGTTTTTGTATCGATTTTTTTTTTCGAAAAAGCGAATTAACAGTTTCATTTTGATCATAACTGTTAATTTTTATGCTAATGACTTAAAGTTAAGTTCATTATAAAGATTTTTTTAAAGTACTTAAAAAATGTTCTGTGCTTTTGTCTCGAAAAAATGATTTTTTTTAGTTATTTTACGTTAAATGCTTCCAATTTGGATTTCACAGGGTCCAACGACATTAACAGTGTACGATAATTCAATAAACGAAGAAATCTAAATAAAAAATTTAGAGATAAATTTGGAACGAATACACTGAAGACAAAATGTTTGAATCTGGTTCGGGCTGAGGCAGTACAGTATTGGGGGTCACTAAGGTTTGCAAAATGTAATAAAATTTCTAGGGTCGTATTTAAAAAAATTAAGTTGATGTTGGTCCTGGAGAGACGAAACGTTATAAAAATTGATTATGCCATTCGATAGAGGGCAAAAAGTGGTCATGAGAAAGTGTTCTTCTGTTTTCAATATCACCTCAAACAAGGCTGAAATGAAACAAAAACGGATTTCCAAAATTTCGGTTTTTTTCAAATATTTCGAAAACTAATCATGTTAGCCTTGATTTTTTAGAGGCATAATGTTGGTTCCCTGATTTCGTAACTTTGCCCCCATTTAAGCTAATTTGTATCTCTTACCGTTTTCTAGATCCCTGTAGTGAGAAGCGAATTTGTAACAGCCTGTATTTTATTCTAATTATACAGACTATTTCGATTTAGTTAAAAATATGTATGTACTTGCCTCTGGGGTAGATGGGACTGTAGTGAGGCCCTTCGTCGAAGTCGCTTCTGTTGTAAAAGGACTCTGAAAAATAAATGCCAATATACAGGGTGTATCACGAAGAGGGCTCAGTAGGATTATCTCAAAAAGTAGTCAGAATTGAAATCTGAAAATTTATATACAGGGGTTTATCAAAAAGATCTATTCAATGAAAGTAGTGTCAACTTCCTCGCACTTCCGGTTTTACCGGAAGTCATCGTCAGCTTTGTTATTTCAAATGGAACACTATGTATATTTATGCATTTTTTAATCCTACGGCAAATTCTAGACTATTTTCATATAAGATCATATGTGCCAAAATGTGATAGTTTTCAAGTTATTACTAATTTTCGAAAAAAATTGAAGGATGTAAGTGATTTTTGAAAATAGAATAACTCCGACATTTTGCTTTATTTATTAATGAAATTTGGCATGGATAATTTAAAAGCAATGGAATTCAACCAATTTATGTCAAATTTCCAAACATTCATACAGAGTGTTTAAAAACGTGTGGCCAATATTGTGACGTTAAAGTTGAATTTACTGAAAATTTTCAAATGGTATAAAAATAGTCTAGAAGTTGCCGTAGAATTAAAAAATACATACATATACATAGTGTTCTATTTGAAATAACCGGAAGTGCTAGAAAATTGACAATATTTTCATTGAATAGATTTTTTTGACAAACCCCTGTATACAAATTTTCAGATTTCAATTTTGACTACTTTTTGATATAATCCTACTGGGCCCTCTTCGTGATACACCCTGTATATATAGAAAACAGCGTTTTTCCATTATTGTTGACTCATATATTCACTGACAAGGCATGGGGAAATTCAAACCATATTTTCGTTTTTTATTCCGCCTGTTCTAGTCAGACATTGCATATATCCAAGTAAGTTTGCCCTTCATATTGCTCTATTATTCACCAAAGTTAATTTTATTTTTGTTAATCTCACCGCTGTTGTTGCGGTTACCTCTGGAGGGGTAATTGGCAGATCTAACGAATCCTGAATGTTTACATAATCTGCAACCACCAAACTCATCAGCACGACGTCAAGGATCGCTATCAAGATCGTTGTTCCTGACCACAAGCTGATAACCACAAAGTTGCCGCCCCATTTGTTTCTCTTCATGGCTGTAACATCAAAACGTTCAACTGATTAAGTATTGAATTTGAATTCATTTGTTTCAAATTACTCATTATTTCGTATTCGAATAACCTGTAGCTCAAAGTTGTTCGTGATGACAATGTTTTAGTAGAGTCGGAAATATCTGAGGTGTAATTTTGTTTAGAAACATGATCGATTAGTTTCGTGCAAAATACGATTTTTTTCAATAGGGATGTAATCAATCAAACAGCAGTTTCTTACTTAATCCACAGGTGGAATATTTAGCTGCTGACATGTTTGATGAAATGTTTGTCTATAAAAAATGCAGTTAATTTATCTTAATTAGTAAATTACAAGTGATTGACGTTTGAAGTGACATTTAATGATTTATTTATTCATTCTTTCGTTTTCTGACATTAATAATAATTGTTGTAGGAGCTTCTTTTAATATCAAAATAACTTTGTTCTGTTTTAAACCCAAATTAATACAAACTAGAACCTCCATCACTAATCATCATCATCATCACCAATAATTGAACAATAGCTCAGGGTCAATCACCTTTTTGTTTAGATAAAAATTGTAAAGACCAAAGTCTACTAAACAAATTAAAATATTAATAATAAAAACATTTATATAACTTACCCCACATCATGTATAGCGAAGCAATTAGCCATACAAAGCTTGATATCACATACAGGTACATAAAAATATTAAAGGCGTCTGCAGTTACTATTACATCTTCGTTCGTTTTATCGGGATCTGGAAAAATTGAGATTAATTTTCTATACAACTATAGCAAATGGTACTTGTTTACTTAAAAATGCATCGTAGATGATACGCAGATAATTGTGCGACGATAAATTGGTGTCGATCTCGATCACTGAATGGTAAAGTAATATCGAAATTAATGAAAAGGAAAACCATATGGCGGCTTGGAACTGAAACAGATATTTTGGTAAGGAAGATATTTATCAGGAACGTCTAAACTTCAAGCAAGCATAAGAATTCATGATATAAATATGTTTGAAAATAGATACAATGAAGCTTGCTCAAAATCAGAACGCTCTTGTAACACTGAATGAAATAAACAAAAAAAATTATTTTGGGTCGTACACAATTCTTTGGGTCTGACAAGCGTAATAATAATAACATTTTTTTAAATTTTCTGATTAAATTCTTCTAAATCTTTTTTTATAACTGAACGTTATACGTTTGATTTAGGCAAATAAGTATTTGCTTAAATCAAATAAGTATATGATTTACACCTTTTATTAAAAAAAAACTCTATACAGAGAATTGGCATCTAAAATATACTTTCTGACGATAGAATATTCGACGAAAAAGAGTCATTTTATCAGCGTGTAATTTGGAAAGTTGCTGCACGATTTGCGGTGACATTGTGCACAACGGGCACATATCTTTTGTTAAAAAAACTGGACAGAAAATTTAGTGTCTCCTATAAATAACGAAATTGTTCAAATCGGATAATTAGTTCAAAATTGTGGACTTATTTTTGTCTGCATATTTATTTTTTATTTTCCGTAATCATACTGGACACATTGGCTGAACATTTCACCCTGTATATTGTTTCAGTAATGTGAATCATTGCATTTATATATAAAAAAATAATAATAAAACGATAAGAGTCTATAAGAACATTTTAAACTAACAGAATTGACATTCTTTTCAAATCAGTTTTTAAGAAAATGATTCACTTTTTATCTTTGTCGTAGATAAACAAATTTTTTCTGGTTTTGGTTTTGGTGAGTTAATGGTGATTTAAAAGTTTGCACTTTCTTATTTTTTCCTTTCAAAGGTACACTATTATAGAATCAAAGAAATATGATTACATGTTTTTATATATTTTTTTTATATTTGTTATATTTCAATTCAGCTAATCAGTAATAATTTTCTGGAAATAAAAGAACATGCTTCTATTTTCATAAATTCGTACTGTTTCATAAAATACTTTGGGAAAAACCACACCGTACGGATAAAAGTAATAGTCACTGTGATAGTGTAGTTTCCAGGTACTTGAAAGATGTTTTTAATTTATGATACTAATTCATCTAAAGTTTAAACATGTTTAAGCACTATCTGAGTTCCGATCTATATTTGTATCACTAATACTTTATTAGTCATATCGATTATCATGATAAAAACCAAAAGCTTAAAATCTAAATAATTATTGATACATTGTATAATGAATTTAAAAATTGCGCTGTTTTTTTGTTAAACTTCTGCATTTAAGTAACGAAAATCCCAAAGTCTGTTATATTCGTCTTTTCAAATATTCGCAGATTGATTAATATATAATTTCTTTCAGAGTAAAGGTCCAAAACGTATAATATACGTATACATATTATGTGACAATTTATAACTTGTTCAAAATCAATTTGTACAATAATTATTTTACGTATTTATTAAATATATGACTTTCTATGGATATAATTTCTTTCTATATAATTTTTTATGACTCAATTATTGTTATAAAGTGACAAGAAATATATGAAGTCATACCTACCTAGGTTAAATTTAGATTTCGTTTATATTTAGCAAACCGCATTATATTTTTGAGCATAAATATCATAAAAACGTTGAGAAATGTAAACAATAAACTACGTTTTTAATAATGAATGTTATAATAAAACTGTGCTTCTGTATTATAAAAGTAATGTTTTGTAATACCAGTAAATGTACTTTTCATATTGTGTTTATGTTTCTATGTCTACTGGAATGGAGTAAGAACTGTATTCAACTATGCGTAATTTTACTGTAATTTTATTGTTGATTGAAAAACGTTTGTAGCATCCTTAGAATGTTTTTTTTTTAAGGTATATAAGTAGAACTGTTGATACTTATTTTTTTTTAATATACAAATCCTTATGTGAGGTTACACCAATCTCTGAAGATTAACGTGAATAATAATAATAGAAACACACAAAATTATATAAAGTGGTTCACCAACATGATTTGGCTGAAAAATTGATTAAAATCCCGAAGAATTGCAGAATGGGTTTTGAAAAAAATTATTTGGACCCATTGGAACCTTATTGTTTTATATTACCCTGTTCCTCGTTATATAAACCTAAGTTTTCAGGAAAGTACTTAAGGTGGTAATCCAAGAAATGAATTTTTACGTTAATCGTTGGTAGTTTCTTATAACTTCTGCTAGAATAGTATCGTAGTCCTGTCTTTCGTGGTTTCTTAAAAAGTTTTGAGCGTTGTTGCTAAAACTCAGTATCTGCATTGTTGTTATCAATTTTGGATCACTTCAATTCGGAAATTGACTAGTTAAGTATTGGGAACAATTTCCGCTTTTATCCAAAGTCTTGACAAATCATACCAAGTTCTATATGGAGGGGAGGAATCAGTATTTCCAAAAGGTCAGTCAAAAGTAGTGAGTTCCTGGGTTTATTAATTCTCTTGTTGGCCTTTGTTTCTTTCTGTAGTGGTTGTTCATGTCTACTTTCCTACAGATACCAGAAACAGGGATATTTGGTAAATCCTGACTGCTCTCCTAAAATGATTCTTCCACAACTCATAATTCATGTTTCCAGAAGGCTTTATTTCTTAATGATATGAAGGTTGCGTTTTGAAGCTAACTGTTTTGTTCTCAGATATATTGCGTACTTGATCTGCGGTAAGAAATGAGTTCGCACTTTCAAAAGCTTAAAACAAATACCTACTAAAAGTAATCATCAGTGATTTGTTAGGCTAAGGAAACGTTTTAATTAATGATTCAGTAAAAATAGAATTTAACGTTGTCCTTTAAGTTGCTGTTTTGCGAAACAAAGATGTAGAATAATGTAATTATTAACACAGAGCAAAATCATTTGTTGTCTTAAGGTTTAATTCCAAGCAGATAATAATTTGCTAGGTAGCTACGTTGTTGCGAGCACTAGAATTCGACGTAAAAAATTCAGGGCTTCCATATAAACACGTACTCGTATGAAAGCTATGTTACAATGGGCGCGTGGAGGTATTTAGTTCAATATTTTGTTTCTGTTATTTAATTGTCAGTAGGTACCTGATTGTATAATACATTTATATTCAGGAAAATAAGCATCTATACATTTTTTATAAGCAATGTACGCGAATTCGTACTTATTGACAAATAAACTTCTTAATTTTAAAATACCTACAGAAAAATATATGATGAAGATTTAACTAGCGTAAATGTTTATAACCAGCAGATCCTGTGAATTTTTGTTTGCAGATACATTCGTTTGCGTATATGTCATTAATTTTAAGGGAAGATAGAGAAAAATGATTATAATACGAATACGCTATTAAAAAAATTGCGTTGTTAACTACAACGAATAAACAGACACATGAATGAATAAGATATTTGTTTTGCATTTTGAATATTAACAAGTGTTATTTATTTATTAATAATAAGAATAATAATTGTTTTCGAATGTTAGGTTATTGCAATTTAGTTGTACGTTTTCTCTATGTTTTATAATAGAATATGAGTTTTTAGTGTTCACTTAATTATTCGGTTTGTAGTACGTATACCTTATTGTGTGACTTGTTGCTTTTCAAAGAGTAATCATACCTACCTATTTAAAATGACAGTACTGCATTTTGATTTTGAAATCAATTGCAAAATTCAAGGGCGACTGAAGAAATCGGCTATTTCGCTTCAACGTTCGTATATACCGGGTGATTCAGTTTGGTATTCGCGGCCCTGTATCTCTTTTATTTTAACAAATAGCTATAATAAACCATATATATTTTTAATTCGCCACTCAACCTCTATCAAATGACATTATTAGATCGTCTCCATGGTAACATATGTTTTTGTTCAAATGGTACACTATATATTTTTTTATCAATTTTGGAAGATATTTTTTTCTGCGTTCAACTATGTAAGGAAGTCTATAGTTTCATTAGAAATATTTCTAGAAAAACAGCAAAAAAGATGCACCCTACTTTTCGTAGCTTTATTCTAAAAAATGCTGCCAGCTGCGAAAACAAGTTACTATGTTTTTTAAAGTAACATATTTTATTTTTAACACGATAATAAGATAACAATTTAAAACAATACTTATTTCAAATGTTCAAAATGACCTCCATTTGCTTCCAAACACACAATAGCTCTGTTTATCTCTCCCTCTCTACAAACACATTCTGTGTTTCTTCATTGAATCGCCGACATTCTACTCTTATTCTGTTTTTAAGGTAGTCAATATCATTTAAAGACGAAGAGTAAACTTTTTTTTTAGGTAAGGCCAAAGAAAGAAATCTATAGGAATGAGATCTATAGCAGGCCATTTAACATCTTTATCGAATGTCTTACCCTTCTGGGTTTAAAAACTCTTCTTTTCTTTTGAAAACCATCTGCTGCCAAATTCCTGGCTAACTTTCCGAAAATTTTATCTGATGGAAGTTGTCTCTGCAGAAAACGATGTTGGTATAAATGCCTAGCAGCTTTAGCGTTCTTTTAGCTTTTTAGCACTCTCCATAAATGAAAATCATATTTAGTTTTTCTTGGTTACTATAAGTATTCATGTTATAGTAATAATAATTAGTTATAGATAGAATAGGTAGGTACAACATGTCAATTATTTTGAAAAACCGTTATTTTGAAACGTCAAAATTTAATTGTTTACGCAGCTGGCTATCATTTTTCAGAATAAAGCTACTGAAAGTAGGGTTCATCTTTTTTGCTGTTTTTCTAGCAATATTTCTAATGAAACTATAGACTTCTTTATATAGCTGAATGCAGAAAAAATTATTTGTTCCAGAATTAATAAAAAATATATAGTGTGCCATTTGAATAAAAATAGTTGACTATAGCAATTTTAACATATGTTACCATGGAGACGATATAACAATATAATTTGATAGAGTTTGAGCGGCGATTTAAAAATATACAGGGTTTGTTGTAGCTATATTTGACAAAACAGAATAGATACGAGGCCACGAATATCAAACTGAATCACCCGGTATATAGGATATTTTTTTTTCGATTTTGTCTTTATTAGGCCATCCGTATACGTGGTTAAAATTAATGACTTTGTATAATTTTGATTTATATAAGGATTAAACTGTAATACTAGGTACCACAGAAACTTTCATAATATGTATATTTATTACTTATGGAGTTAAATAATATGTAAAAGGAATTTTGTTTCTTTTGGCGCTTTGTTAAATATCTGGATTGTTTTTTATGTTGTTTTAAAAACAGCTATATCTACTTGTATAAATAACGAAACAATACATCCCTTTCATTTGATAAAGCAGGGGATTATCTGGAAAAATGAGCCGTCAAACCGGCTTATAGTTTGATAAATTTTTATGAAGAAATAATTTGCTGTAATAGATATTTTTAAATCATAGGAATTACCTATCCTATAACTGCATGCAAATAATAATTTGTTCTAGTTCTTTAGACATAGTACAAGGGTGTTCAGTATACAATAACAAATATTCCCTATTTCATTAAATACAAAACATTGTAAGTTTTTGGTAGCAGATACCTCTAAAATTACTGAGTTTAGATATATGATGTTTATGGGAATGCTTTAATGTAATTATTTTGTTGAGGTCTTGCGTACATTTTCTTTGCATTTAGAATTTATCTTGTAACATTTTTTTAAGTCATTGTAATGTTAACCATTAAGTCACATGTCTCCAAAGTGAAATTAAAATGTAAAACTATTCCTTTCGTGCCTTTTGACCCTGTCCAAAATATCTTAAATTCTACATACTGTTCCTATTATCGCCGCTGCGAGGGCAACAGATCTGATCAGAGGTGTGTTGATTAATTTCCCCGTCATTTTCACTGTTTCACCAATCAGTACACATTCACATACTTCACTTCAGACACATTAGTTTTAATGTCACCCATTCTGCGATAAGACGGTACACTGTAGGTATCTAATTATATGGAACAATTTAGATTGTTGCGTAAAATAGATAAACAGATTCATTATCTGATAAGAATTCCGCCGCTTAATAAACGCTGCTTATCAGTGATTAAGGGTATTAGGTATTTTCTACTTATTAATTTTTAATCCATTAACAGGTAGGTATTTTCTTTCTATAGTAATGATTCATTATTGATACTATTTTTTCCTAAATTGCGAGGAAATGTCAGCAAAAATATTTACACAGAATGTAAGCTAATATGTTTGTTTGAAAATGCAGTTGTTAAACAAATGAACGAAATAATCCATTTTCCTAAACTGTTCAGTTTAAGAAAGATGCCAATTTCTATGGTACTTACGTACTTTTCAATACGCCATAATGGATCTGCCATTTTGTATAATATTACAAATAAAATAGGTCAGCATATGCGCCATTGTATTATCTTCATTTTTTGTTTCTTTACACTTTTTTGTATTCCAAACAACAAAATTGATTTATTTGATCAAGTGCTTTTTTACGATAGGTACTCATTATATATTTAAAATAGCTGAAATCGTAATTTTTTAAAAACCAGCTGATTATCTCGAAAACGGTAAGTTTTAAACACCATGTACATTTAATAAAGTCAACCTAATATTAACCACGGAATTCAAAAACTAAATAATATACATTCCATTTAAAATAACAAAGTTATGTAGCACCCACGCAAAATGGAACACCTTGTAAAGCTAAAAATATTTCCTTTATGGCCCACATGATTCCAGGCAACTTTTATTAAAACCATTTTTTTTTATAAATCTTATAGTTGCAGTTGCAGAAGAATCCCTTTTAGGTGGAACACTCTGTATAGGTAATAATAATAATAAGTTTTCTAAATAATGAATAACGCGATCTGAACGCAAATGTATGAATAACTATTCAAGGTTTAATTTATAGATATGTTGGCGCTGTTTTGAAGATTTTACAACTTTTGGATGGTATAATTTTATACTTTATTGTACAGACATGTTGGCTTATATATTTTTTAATGGTACCTACACTTGGAAGTCACTTTTAAATATAGTTAAAAATTATCTTATATAGAATTCACAGTTTTAATATTACGTATATTTATTCATGTTATTACATCTTAACAAAAATATTAACTAACCTATAATTAGTTTTAGCTTGTACATGTACAATATTTTTATAATGATGTATACCCAGTGACTTCTCAGTTCTTTTGCTTTTTTTTCAAGCCTCAAGATACCTCTATATCACGTGATTGTGTGAACAGAGGAATGAGGCCATAATTATTAATTGCACATAAAAGAATAAATATTTAAAACCAACAAGAGCGTTTTATCAGAGCAAATATATGGCGGTATCAACATTAATACAATAGTTCACTAGAAAACATGCTTTTTTTATTTTTATTATGTTTGACAGATACCATGCTGAACCATAAAACGTAATATCTAATTTCTAAATTGCTGGTGTAAATAAATAAAGGCAAAATCCGCTTTTACTATTGTCACAGTAATATCGAAAATAGTTGTTGGATCAGTGATAATGTGCTTTTATTAATTTTAATTAACTGTAATTACAATGCGAATTTGTACTAATAGATTTTTGTACAAATTCATAAAAAATGTCGGGTTAAAACTGATAACAGGACCTGCGTCCACTTAGAAGAAAAAAATTGAGGTTTTGTATATAATCAATTGAGCAGAAATTGCCATTGAAGTCGTCAGATGTTTGCTATTATGGGAATTAAATTTATTGTGCTAAAATTTATTCAAATAGTGAAAATTACAAGCATTTATATCTGAACGATAAATGAGATTAAATCCTTGCTGTCAAACATAGGTGCATTTGCGAAACTATGTTCAATCTAAATAAAAACGTCTTGTTAAAGTTGACACAACGGTGCACATTTCTTTTTCGCTGTACATGATGGCAACTTCTCTATTTACGTTAGTCAAGATCGACAAAAGATTCCTGTCCTCTGCTGTCTTCAGCTGACGAACCAGTGACTGAATAAAGTAACTGCCTCTTTGGGGATGCCTGAATGAATAATATCCTGCAATTAAAATCAATGACAACTGTAATTTGATGCTTTTTTAATTGCTTCAAAGGAAGGATCACAGATATATATATATATATATA